TTACTGCAGATTGTCAGATCAGACAAGTGGATGAGGAATTCAGTTCACAAGTGGTTAGACTAGAGAGTATCTGAGTGTGATGCAGAAAGCTAAAGGGAGAAAAAAAATCAGAAAAGGAGGTAAGAAGCTAAGAAAAATAAAGGAACAGTAGGGGTCATGGAAAGAAAGATTATCCCTGTCTGGCTAGCACTGAAAGCAGTAGTACATTAGAAACTTCTGCTGTCTGTCAGGGGATAGGAGAAAGAGTTAAAAGGGATGAGAGAGGCAAAGAAGAAAGCCACCTTATATAGATCAGTTTGTTCTTTAGTCCTTGAACGCTTGGCTAAGAGGGATAGAGGCTGAAGTGTTCCAACTGGAAGAGGAATAATGTCCAGCCAAGTAGGTAGTCAGATAATTTCTGTAAGTTGGCTGTACTTTTATTTTCTAATCCTCTCAATCCTGTTTCATTTCCTCCTCTACACTGCTTCTAAACCTTTCTTCCAGCTCTTTTGGGTTGTGATGCAAGTATATTTTAATCTTTCCTCTTTTAATCACAGAATCAATCACAGGGTTGGAAGGGACCTCAAGGGTCATGAAACTCCAACCCCCAGCATCCTCTTCTTCTAGTTATCCCTTGCTTTGTAATTCCACAAATATCCAAAATAATCTTTGACTTTATACTTTCCCATCCTTTTATCTAATGCCAAAACATTGGCTTTCACACTGACCTACCCAATGCTTCCAGTCCTAATTGTCCATGCATTGGACTTTCAAGCAAGTACCTTCATGCTTCATGTTTTTATTCATGCTAACACCACCTTGTTTTCCTCTCTCATTCCACAAACATGGCTTTGTTTTAACACTGTCACAAATCCTAGGCTATCTATGTGAAGTAATAAGGTGGTCCCCTGACTGTGCTTATCTTCTCATCCATTTCAGCTGCAAATTTCCTGAGGCAAAAATGATTGCCTCCTACACCCCTGAGGAAAGTCAGTGCAGTAATATGCATAGAGAAGAAGGATAACACTAATTGCAAGAAGCAAAAATAATACTAATAAAAATTACAAACTGGCAATATATCAAGCCACAGGGAAGAAAAACGTAGAATAAGTTTTGCAACTGAGTTTTTGTGAGGATAATAAAAGGCAGATGAAAAGGTTGCTCCAGGGATAAGTGGTATGAGAGCTGAAACTTTTGTAGCCTTTCATACACCCACGCTTCCCCACATACTTGGGGGGAGTCAGACTTGTTCAGACTCTCAAGCTCACGAGTTGCTCAGCATCCAACTGTAGATCCAGGAGTCTCAACCAGCCCCGTCTCTGGACGACTCAGGGAAGCGTGAGTGAAGGCTGCATAATCTCTGCAGACAGAAGATGGTGCTGTTGTCACTGAATTGTGCCTTCCACTTTTTTTTTTTTTTTTTCCTGGTGAAAAGCATGCGACTGCAGATAAAAAGAAAGGTATGGAAAAGGAAAGGTATAAAAACAACGGTAACTGCCATTTCCTGTATTTTTAATTGGAGAAAATAAGAGACTTAAAGAGAAGACTGATGAACGCAAAGAAAATCAAGAGTCACCTAAGGGAGAGAGCAGATCTGCAGTTTTCAAAGGTATTAGAACAGAGGAAGATGTAAAAGAAATTAAGAAAGGCAGAGAAGTAACACAGACTGTATTCTGGATCACGCCTTCCCCATTGCCTTCAAGACACCCTGAACTCTGATTTTCACAAATCTGTACTATATGGATTGTCACTGTGAGCCATAGAGGGGAAGTTAAGCTGGTACATCTCTAGTTATAGTGAGTGCAGTGGAATGGTCTGGAAAAGATGAATTAGGAGAAAGAATCAGATATAATCCTTTGCCATCTGTCTTTATTTTGCTAACCTGCTCAGCAGGGCACTGCTGAAATCTGCAGTCTTTTTATCTGTTTCATGTAGCTGAAGATCATTCACTGTACAGACTGGAATTAGAAAGCTTCCCAGTCACAGCCTGCTTTCCCTTTTGTTGACCCTGCTTGTTTTCTCTTTTTCAAAAAAATTTTAGGACTTTCCATTCAGCTGTAGGCTACAGCATTCATTTTTAACCTCTCCCCTTTGCCAGGACTGAGAGCCAGATGGCAAAGTTAAAATGGATTTTACTGTTGGCTCATATGGAAGTAAAAGGGCTGTTAAAATGTGCACAGTCCATGCTTCTTCCGCCTTCAGCCTGAAAAGCATGTATAGATCTGGAAGAAATGTGACAATTGAGAAAACATCTATATGGCATCACATTGTTTCTCCATAACAGTCTTTACCTACAGATCTTCATCCAGCAACTCATGTAAACATTACATTATTCTAAGTACACATCTGAGTGTTTTGCTATACAGGATTTTAGTGTATAGTGGACTCTACTGATAATGAACTGGATAAGAGTGGGGAAAATACTTTGTGACTCCTACATGAAAATCTACTAGCTGCAACCCCAGAAGCCTTTAGTCTTTTTAAATGCCTGGTGACATTACTGGGAGTAGAGCCTTACCACAGGAAGGCAGATTAAAAAAATCCCAGATATAACCAGGGTCCAATCAGGTTCTTGCTTATTACAGTGAGAACAAAGGAAAATGCCATTTTATTTTAGAGAGGACAGAAAGAAAGAAAAAAGAGAGGGCACAGGAAGGGAGCTTTCACTTTGCTTACAACTCTTAGGTATCCCTATTTGCAAATATGAAGGTTTGGAACGTAGTGTGTTTTCCAAATGATGAGTATGAAGTGTTTTCTGATGCCTTGCTTAAGAAATTGCAGCTTAGGTGAATAGCTTTTCACTGGTGAGCTGTTACCCCTTCTGGAAGCATGGAGATAGCTTTCTATGTACACCAAAGTTATCTTTGATTTTCAGATCAGCGGAGAAATTGGTCAGGCACTGGTTGAAAGCAAAATTATTTCCTCAGTGGGAAGTTTGGTCTTGAAAGACCCAGACTACTGCCACCTTCCACCTCTGGCAGTCTTTTACATCACTGTAAAGCAAAGGAAAACAGTTTTAAAATATTCTTCCTCATCTTCCATTTCACTTTAGATTACACTGACTTAACTAACTTTCCAAGGAAAAAGCAAAAGTCAGCTGTATCAAGATGTACTTCTAACATTTTGAGCTGTACATTAGACTTCTGAGAAGTTCTTCCAAGTTTATTCTGAATTTCCTATACTAAAAATAAAGATTCATCAATTTAGCTGAGAACAGCAGCTTTGAAAGCATTAAGCAGGAAGCACTGGTGTTTGTAAAACAGCTCCTAATGCTGTTGTCTTTAATGGGGGCGGCTAATCCTCCCTGCTTTCTCGTATTCCCAGTGATTCTCTCCAAGTGGAAGCTTGCCAGTTATTCTGCAAAATTCCTGACTCACTCCAACATCATTTAGGGCCTTCTTAATTGATTGCAGGGTATCTTCAAAGTCAGAGAAGGGCTCTTGTTAGACGCTGTAAAAGCTTTTCTGAGAGCTTACAGTTTTTGCAAAATACTTTTGAGACAGTGGGATCAAAGGACAAACCCCAAGATCAGCGCATTTTTAGAAACATATCTCTTTTATAATCTCATTATAAAGACGGGGGGGTTTGCTGTAGTTTTGAACTTGGCTTTGCAGGTCTAATTTTGGTCCGTTTCCTGCCCTGTATACAGGAATAATAAAAAAGAGTCGTTTGTCATATTGCCACGGTATTGCTTCACTCCTTAAATCTCCATCTTGTAAAAGCAGTGCTAGCGGCCTTCTATGTATCTGTGAGGTCTTCCATTAGAGTTCATTCAAAGAGTTTTATAGACAGCAACATGGGAAGCCTCCAAGCACGCTGCTGGGGCACTTGTTACCATTTTTTTTACACTCAGGAAAATGTAGCACAATAGCTTCACAATTTGAAAACCAAAATAACTGCTCATTGGCGTGTGGACTGTAGAAACATTGTAATGGGGCCCAGCATTCAGAAACTGAATCATCTTGTGAAAGTATGACTATCTTCCATCAGCTGCCCAAAAATGGAGGCATCCAAAATAAAATAACCATCCTTCCAAGACATCTAATTGGTTCTTTTTTTCTTTTTTTTTTCTTCTTTTTAAAATTC